CAGACCAGCTCCCAAAAGCCCATTCAATTCATGATATTTCATGGTAATAGAAACACTGGCTATTAGATACAGGCCTCTGTGTAATCCGTTTCTATGGGAAACTTCCCCTTGAGCCTGAGAAATATTTCCACCTTGTCGTTTCCTCTCTGCATGTCCCACCTCTAATAAATGTGCTGCCCTAGAAACAGGGCAGGGACTCCCTCTCGCTGTCTGCTGAGGCCGTGGCAGCAGGAGGCCCTCTTGCCACCTGGGACAGGAAAAGGAGAGCAGTCTGGCATGCTCTAGCCCTCTATGTGGGAAGAAAATCAATATGTATGTATGTATGTATATATGTATGCATTTTGAGACTGAGTCTCACTCTGTCACCCAGGCTGGAGGGCAGTGGCACGATCTTGGCTCACTGTGACCTCCACCTCCCAGGTTCAAGTGATTCTCCTGCCTTAGCCTCCCAAGTAGCTGGGATTACAGGCACCTACCACCATGCCCAGCTAATTTTTAGTAGAGACAGAGTTTCACCATGTTGGCCTGGCTGGTCTTGAACTCCTGACCTTGGGTGATCTACCTGCCTCTGCCTCCCAAAGTGCTGGGATTACAGGCATGAGCCACCATGCCTAGCCAAGAAATAAACATTTATTATGTACCCACTGTGTGCCAGACACAGTGCCTGGTCTGTCTCACACCTTACCTGTTTTGCTGTTCCTAACAATCCAGTGAGGCACGTATTATTGTCAGGAAACTGAAAATGCCCCCCAATAATTCACAGAGCTGAGATGCAAACCTGTAAACATGTGCACTGTTCATTATAACTCAGTGATGCCCCAGCAGAACTATTTATTTATAAGAGACCTATAAAAGTCAAATGTGGGAAGGCACTTTGCATGTTGCCCTGAGATTCAATAAGGTCTGTCATGGAATCCCTTATTAGAAAGGCACTGATCACCTCTGTGTCTGCAGTGCCTAGCATAGTGCTGGAAGCATGGTAAATTCCCAGTAAACATTTGTTTGATTAATAGGAAACATTATTGTTGGCTCTGTTCTGCTTCCCAAGATAGAAAATTGGAATCATTTACTTTAGAGAGTTTTCGACAGCGAATACTAAAACAACAAAAATGTTTTCTCATTAACTCTCAGTTGATTAGGAAATTCGAATAACTAAAGTGCTGTAAGTATAGTTCCTAGCTTACAAATCATCTATTTATAAGAAGAAATGGAAGGCAAGTCCATTGTGAGAACAGTTTGGCAGGCTTCAGAGCCTAATCACCCTGTGGAGGACTGGCAACACTCTTCATAGGGGTAAGCATATTGCCAGCTCCATGTAACCAACTTTCAAGCCAACTCTCGGAATGCAAACTAAAAGCCGGAGACAATGAACATTCCCCTAATGTAAACATACTCTGCGGTTATTATCTTCTTTCAGTAACTCAAAATTGTTATGGGATTAAAAAAAAGTCCATTTGTGTCAGCTGTAAAGGAGCATGGCATCCAATAATAACTAACATTTATTTGACTTTTACAATGTGACACTCTTTCTTCTAGGGGCCACATGTGCATTTGTTTATTGTACTCTCACCACATTGGCACGCTAGGTATGGTTATTATCTCCATGTTTACACAATGCTAAGGCTGAAAGAAATTAAGTTACTAGTTAATTTTGGAACTGGTATCAGAACCCAGTACTGGCTGATCCCAAAGCCCTCTATAGACCACCTCTCTTGAGACACAGAGGCTGTTTGCTTCCTGATTCGATAGGAAACTGGAGGAGAGCCCATTTAAACCCATTCACTCATAAGATGAGCAGGTCAAAAGCTGCTCTTAGGATCTAGGACTGATCATTGGAATTGGCAATGGCAAAGCCATTCTTGCCCTTGAAAAGAGCTATTCTGGCAGAGTGAGGTAGAAACCTGTTCAGGCTGCTTGTAAGAGCGAAATGAAGAAAGGGTGCTATCAGTGTGTAGACAATTATTTTAATGAATTGTTGTAAAGGGTAGCTGAGAATTGGAGTAATGGCTAGAGATATGTAGAATCAATAAAGGATTTTTAAAAAGACAGGAACATAGTAGTATGTCTGTATACTGATGGGAGTGATCTAGGACTGAAGACAATATTAATCCAGGTGGGAAGAGGCAAAAGCCACATGAATAGGATCCGATTTATACTGAAGGCCATAATGGCCTTAGATGATTCATCTATAGCAACAGGAGAGCGGGAGAGTAAACAAACAGGCAAATGCAGAATGATTGTTGGGCTGTACTAAGCTCCATTTGATTTTAGTGGTCGTGAATTGAAAATAAGACCAGGCAGCATAATTTTGTGCTTTTTTTTTTTTTTTTTTTTTTTGTGACGGAGTTTTGCTCTGTCTCCCAGGCTGGAGTGCAATGGTGTGATCTCGGCTCACTGCAAACTTTGCCTCCTGGGTTCAAGCGATTCTCCTGCTTCAGCCTCCCAAGTAGCCAGGATTACAGGCATGCACCACCACGCCTGGCTAATTTTTGTTTTTTTTAGTAGAGATGGGTTTTTGCCATGTTGGCCAGGCTGGTCTCAAACTCTCGACCTCAGGTAATCCCTCACCTCGGCCTCCCAAAGTTTTGGGATTACAGGCGTGAGCCAACATGCCTAGTCAAATATTTGCTTCTTTAATCATGTTTAGCTGGGTGTAGATGGAAAGAAGGTGGAGAGTTATATTTTACTAGGGTTGTGTTTTTACCAGGTAAATAGCATGAAAAGAGAGCAGAACATGGTTTTGAAGGTGTAAGTAAGAGAGAAATGATAATGAAACTGGAAACCAACGTCCATAAGGAAGGAAGGGGGATCATGAGGGGAGTGAGGGACAGAGCCAAGGTCATGGATAAGTAAATTACAGATGATAGTGGGGTCAAGGACACATTGGATTAAAATAAGAGCAAGGATAAGCCGGCAAGGTAGGAGAGTGGAATACTTCACACTGATATTATGCATGGCGTCACTATGACAGCAGGGGGCTGGCGTGGTTGGAGCAGGTCAAGAAAGGGATAGGATGCAGAAGACTTGAGAGATCAGAGTGTGATTATACAGATGGAGAAAAATAAGAATAATCACAGCAATGATACTGGGAAAAGTGACAGTGAATCAGATGCCATTTTCTTCAAGAAATGAGGTGAAACAACCAGAGAGTATGTAGATGGCCGAAATAAATAGAGAAGGCAAGTAATGCAGCCTGCTATGTTTAAGGAAAGCCAGATACGGGGTTAGAGCAAGACAGTGAAAGAAACATTCAGAAAGGAGACTGAGGATATACTGGGGATTTTGCTAGCGATGAACCATGAGTTCCAGAGGACAAATGAGAGAATTCTAGGAGGTGGGAGGGGATGGAGTGATGAGTGCAAAGCTTCACCCAAACATATTCAATTCCTGGATTTGGGAGCTCAGATTATACGAAGCAGGAAAAAGAAGAGGATGGAGAGATAAGCTTAGCTCCTCAAGGATGCTGCCTTGCTGAGGAAGGACAGCCCCACCCCTGCTTCCCTGGGCTCTGTGAGCAATGCTGGCTGAAGGGGCTTTCTGTCCTCCATGGTGATTTGTAAACCAAAAACTGACAGTGGAAAACCCAGAGATGTCTGAGTGTTTACAAGATGAGAGCATATTGGCTCAGATCCGGGTTCTTAGGCTGCTGCAGCTGGTGCTCTCACCACTTTGAGACACTAGAAGGCCCCCCACGAGGCTGCCCAGACTGTTGACCCTCCAGTAGTCCTCCCAGGATGGAGAAAGGACAACCATTTCCATGACTGCTCCTTCCTTCCTCCGGACCCTGCCCTAGGTCATCAGCTGCTGGGCTCTCTCTGGAGCACATCCCAAGTCCAGCCTCCCCGCACCCCCGCAATTCAGAGCCGTCACAGTCAGTCCTGGGGTCTGGGGGGAGATACATAACACATCTGCCCAGTTATCCAGGCCACTGACCTAGAGAGAAAGGTTCTCACAGCGTGACATTAATTATTTTAGAATTTACAGCTCTCAGCGTAACTATTGCTTCGACGTTCTGTATTTGAAGTAGTCAATCTTTCATAGAGTAGAAGGAGCACTGCTCGTCTCCTCCCTTCCCTTCTCCCTCACATACTCCTATCACAATGCTGTCACGCATACATTCACAACTTCTCAGCCTCAGTTTCCCTACCTGTGCAACGGGGCTCATATTACTTTGCCCACTTGAGCCTGGTGATCTCCTGAAGAGAAGGAAATAATGTTGGACTGGAGTTGGAATTCTGGTTCCAAAAGGAGGGGACTGGGGGGCATTTGGGGCTCCTCCTACCTTTCTGCGAGACCTATTCAAGCCCTGAAAATTCTCCGTCTCCTCAGGAGAAGCCACAGAACAAACGGTTTCCCAAGCGTCGGAGGAGGGCAGACAACACAACAAAGCAGGGAATCGGGTTAGAACGGGTTATGCTCTGATTTTCTGGAAAATGGGCAAACGGGGCGGGGACTGGGGAGGACTCAGCCGGCAGGGAGTTTGGAGGCCGCGCGCGCCGCCGCGGAGCATGACGGCCACGGTCGCCTAGCAACCAGCGGGGATGCGCGGGGCGCCTGGGTGGGCGAGGAGAGCTCGCCGCCGCCGCTGCCGCGCGCCCTCGGGCCCCGGGGACCGCGGGAAAACTTTGCGGCTCTTCTGCGCTGGGGCGTCTGCGCCAGGCCCGGCCGACAGAGCAATGCGCCCCGCGGGCTGAGGGAAGACTGTGCGGCCGCGGCCCAGCGCCCGGCTCCGGTAGCCGCGGAGAAAGTTGGCGCGCGGCTGACGGCGCCTTGAAGCAGCAAGGTGCCCGGGCCGAGCTGCCCTCAAGTTTCTGCGGCGATTTCTCACTCTCAGGGGATTGGAAGGCCGGAATCCCGCGGGACCCCGGCTCACGTATTCTGAGCGCTGGGAGAGAGAAGCCCGCGCTTTTCCCGGCGACCTGCGCTTGAGCTGATGCGTGGTGGGTTCGCCCTGGATGGTAGCGATTCGAGTTTTGTTTTCTGCTTTTCTTCTCCCCCAGACAGTGAGTTTGTGGAAGCCTCGCCCGCATCCTACAGCCCAGACGAGTTAGGTAAGTCTGCACCTTTTGTCTTTTATTTTTCGTCGCAATTCTGCCGGAGAACCGAGAGTTTGGGAGGCGCCGAGATGAACTTAGCCAGGCGTGGAGCTGGGGTCGGGGTGCGGAGGGAAGTGGCCAGGGGACACCTGCTGCCTTCGTGGCAGAAACCGGCCTTTCCTTGGCGCTGTGCTTCGAGGGTGGCGGGGCAAGTGTCCAATGTGCTGAGTGTGTGTGTGTGTGTGTGTGTGTGTGTGTGTGTGCGCGCGCGCGCGCGCGCGCCTGGGTCAGTGGTGCTGCTCTGAGGAGCCTGGCACAGCAAACTTCCAGACCTGGGGTTTCTGTAATCTGCGCTCATCATGCCGGAGTGACACAGGCGGCTGGTTCTGTCTTACCAAGTACCTGGCAGGAGAAGGACGTTGCGTGGTAAGGACATTCGTCCTTACCCTGAATTTAATGAAGTCAGGGGCTGAAAACGGCAGTGTATTATTAAACTATAAGACCCAGGAGCTGCTTCCCTCCCTAGTTTCTATTCCTCAGTTAGCCTGTAGGCGTCTTCCATCCTCATTGCCTGTCATGGTAAGTGGAGATTTGTGATGGGTGAAGCGGGACGCTCTTGTCAGAGACAGGCTGAAGAGAGAGTGAAGAGAAAGAAATGCGAATGGTCAGGATCTCTCTTAACTTCCTGCCACCCCATTCTCACTGGGTGGCTTAGTGGTTGGGTCCTTCTCTCTTTTTCTTCTGCTGTCAGGGTTAGTTTAGCTGCTACTGGTCTCGGCTATCAAGTGTGTCCTTACTGCTTTCATCACTAGCCTGAATATCTTGCCTTCCTACCATGAAATGAAAGGATTTATTTGATGATATATGTTGACAGTAAAGGAGGAGGGGAACTGTCCACAAAGAGCGGTTTAAACACATTTATCCTCAGTAACACGCTCAGCTGTGGGCACCCTGTTCCTGGTCAGCCTCTTGTGCTGGGAAGAATGTCCTCATCAAGTCCCACAGGACCTGAAGCAAAATTCCACCTTGACGACGACTTTCATTCATTTCTAGGAGCCAAGCACCCGAAATAGGTCTAGATCAAGGTTGGCATTCTGTGGCAGGGAAGGAGTACCAGGTTTTATTCAGAGGATGTGTTTCTGGCAAGTTGTGAGGCAATCACATCTCTATCAATGGAATCATAGACTAAATGCATGAGCAAAACTAGCTTTTGAGACACATTGTGGTGAATCATTTTATGAAATGAAACTGACATCTAAACCATAGCTTTGCATGATGTGGTTTATTAAGAGGGCAGGTACTTGATGCTCTGCTCCACGCATGTATAATTGTATGTTAATGACACTAGCATTGATGCCTCACAGTGTGACAGAAGCTATTTGGTCCTAGGTCATCCATAAACATAAGCAATGGCAGGATGAGCATTGCTTGCTCTGAGAAACCCGCCCGTATAACTACTAAATTTGCATTCACAAGAATGATTTGTATAGCAGGAAGGCCCAGGTATTTGACCCTTTTTCATCTCCATATCTCCCTCTGGGACTTTCAGACTGGACTGCCCCCATGAGGCAGTGACAAATATGGGTATCCTTTCAAATTAGCAATATAGAATAAAAAAACAATGTTTTTTCTCTTCAGCTCCCCTATTGTAAAAGCCCAGTTTCTCGAGGAGTTTAGAGTGTGTGTCTTAGTCCATTTGGGTTTCTATATCAAAACCAGACTGGGTCATTTGTAAACAACAGAAATGTATTTCTCACAAATTCTGGAGGCTGGGAATTCCAAGATCAAGAGACTGGCAGACTCAGTGTCTGGTGAGGGCCTGCTTCCTGGTTCACAGATGGCTATCTTCTCACTGTGTCCTCAACATGGCAGAAGAGGGCCAGGGAGCTCTTGCCATCTCTTTTCTAAGGACACTAATCCCTGTGGTGAGAGCTCCATCCTTGTGACGTAATCACTCCCCAAAGGCCTCAACTCCAAATACCGTGACATTGAGGATTAGGTTTCAACATGTAAATTTTGAGGGGATATAAATATTCAGTCTATAGCAGTGTGATGGGAACCATGGGGTTCCCTTCTGGATTCTGGGCTTGCAGGGTGATAGAGAAAATAAAACAGAAGTCTGAGAGTTTGAGATCAAAGTCCTAGCTTTCACTCTGCTCCAGCTTCTTTAGCAGACATGTTAACTAGCCTTAGTTTCTTCATCTGCAAAAAGCAGGGGTTGTGCCCAGTAATCCCTGAGGTGCCTCCGAGTTCTACTTCTCACCTCTTAAAGTGCTAAGAGGGGCTGTAAGGCAAAGGAGGCCTATAGCCATTGGGAATTCATTGTTTATATTCATGTGCCATGCTGTTTGGGTACATGGTGTCCTGAAGGACAGAGCAGCTCTCTGGATCAGACTGCTTTGTTTTCTTGCTAGTCAGGTCAAAGACAGAGCTGTCATTTCTCCCTTGGAAAGAGTCATGATGGCTTTTGGTACTTTTCTTAGACACACAGCAGGAAAAATGCCTCCTATAGCAGTTGATGAGCTTGTCAAGCAGCTATTCTTTCTGGAGCATAGATGACCACAGGTTCACTCCTGGCCAGAATGTGAGAAGAGGCAGAGGAAAGTTAAAAGAAAATTGTTTTTCTACTGATAATACTTCTTCTTTTTCTTCTTCTTCCTCTTCCTCCTCCTCCTCCTACTCCTCTTTTTCTTCTTTCTTCTTCCTTCTTCTTCTTCTTGTTTTGAGATGGAATCTCGCTCTGTTGCCCAGGCTAGAGTGTAGTGGCATGATCTTGGCTCACTGCAACCTCCGTCTCCCGGGGTTCAAGCTAGTCTCCTGCCTCAGCCTCCCGAGTAGCTGGGACTACAGATGTCCGCCACCATGCCCAGCTAAGTTTTGGAAATTTAGTAGAGGTGGGGTTTCGCATGTTAGCCTGGCTAGTGTCGAACTCCTGACCTCAGGTGATTCGCCCCTGTCGGACTCCCAAAGTGCTGGGATTATGGACATGAGCCACTGTGCCTGGCCTGTACTCACAATACTTCTGACACCCAATGTGTGGGTTTTCTACACCAAGTAATTCTTTTTTTTTTTCCATTTATTT